TTATTCTCCGCGGCCCGGTACAAAATGGTACCGGACCGCGGACCGGCGGTTGGGGACCCCTGATGTATTGGATATTGTTGAGAATGTGTTCAGCATGTTGTAGTTTTGCAAATTGTCTTTCAAAGTTTGCATGCTGTGACTTTATCTTCACTGTACCATCAAATATTATTTTTTGTTCTTTTAAATTTGTCAGATTTTTGTATTTTAGTGGCATAACAGTGAGCCTGTGCGTAGTATAGTATGACATGTAGTTCTCTAACTACCAAATTGTAGAACGTGAGCTTGTTGCCTCATTTACATACAGCATTCACACTATTTTCTACTTTTGGGTTATTCTTGTGTTCTGCTAAAAATAAAAATGACAAAGCTAATGTTACCTAATAGAGACGTTTCCATTGGGTCATAGTCACATGCTAAAAAGTATTTAGATGAAGCATGCAGCTTAAAACCTTTGTCAATTTTCGTTATAGTGGTATTTAGTGTCACCCTATGAATGCAATGGACTTTTTAGCTCTTGAAGACACCTTGTGTGAAACAAAAACTTTGTAGGTGCCTTGGTCCGTTGTCCAATCGTAGGGCACCTCCAGTGGCCTGAAGTGGATGAAAGTGCTTGGTCTCATTTTGCAGACGTTGGTTGCACATAACCCCTATTGTCACCATGCGCTGAACTGACCAACGGGCACATCACGAAAATTGCGAGTTGAAAGGAGTTTTGGCAGGTGAAATGGCTTGACTCCCTCTTGTGACTGGATCCAATTCAGCCCTTTGATCATTCAGAAGATCCAAAATTGCAGTGCTCAGTCAGCAGGATGTCACCATATTTTTTTGTTTCTCTTTGTATGCCATGCTGGCAACGCTTTGCGTGCTGGCATGCGCCTGCCTTGCAGACCCAGTATTTAAAGAAAGAAACTCAGCCATCACAATTTGCGCAATCGGCAGACACAATTTGGGATGTGTCCCATTAATAGATCAGCTTCCAAATCTGTTTGCACCGGCGCTCAAGTTCTTGCCGGTTTTTTCATCTCATCATCTTTAGCAAATCAGACTGTAAAGGACACCGGCCCTCGAGGACCGGACTTCGACACCTGTGCATAACACATAGCCTGTGCGTAGTATAGTATGACGTGTAGTTCTCTAACTACCAAATTGTAGAATGTGAGCTTGTTGCCTCATTTACATACAGCATTCACACTATTTTCTACTTTTGGGTTATTCTTGTGTTTTGCTATAAATAAAAGTGACAAAGCTAATGTTACCTAATAGACACGTTTACATTGGGTCGTAGTCACATGCTAAAAAAGTATTTAGATGAAGCATGCAGCTTAAAACCTTTGTCAATTTTCGTTATAGTGGTATTTAGTCTCACTCTATGAATGCGATGGACTTTTTAGCTCTTTAAGACACCTTGTTGTGAAACAAAAACTTTGTAGGTGCCTTGTCCCGTTCTCCAATCGTAGGGCACCACCAATGGCCTGAAGCAGATGAAAGTGCTTGGTCTCGTTTTGCAGACGTTGGTTGCACATAACCCCTATTGTCACCATGCGCTGAACTGACCAACGGGCACATCACGAAAATTGCGAGTTGAAAGGAGTTTTGGCAGGTGAAATGGCTTGACTCCCTCTTGTGACTGGATCCAATTCAGCCCTTTGATCATTCAGAAGATCCAAAATTGCAGTGCTCAGTCAGCAGGATGTCACCATATTTTTTTGTTTCTCTTTGTATGCCATGCTGGCAACGCTTTGCGTGCTGGCATGCGCCTGCCTTGCAGACCCAGTATTTAAAGAAAGAAACTCAGCCATCACAATTTGCGCAATCGGCAGACACAATTTGGGATGTGTCCCATTAATAGATCAGCTTCCAAATCTGTTTGCACCGGCGCTCAAGTTCTTGACAGTTTTTGCATCTCATCATCTTTAGCAAATCAGACTCTAGTTATACATACTGTATGAATGAAGGTGAATGTAAATGATTTTGTCAATAAGTGTCCTGCGTTTGGCTAATGACCAGTCTAAGATTTCTCTGGGCCAAAGTCAGCCATGAAAGACTCCAGCTCGACTGCGGCCCTAATGAGGACAAGTGGTATTGAAAATTGATGGATAGTTTTTCATTATTTTTCATTGGAGCCAGTATTCAAATTTTTTACACCACATGAAAGCAGGCAATTAGGGGTGAGATGAATGTATTTGGGATGTGTGTTTGTGTGTTTCGGGGGAGTTATTGGAGATGTAAGGAGAAGGAGGCAGGGCTTTAATTGATTGACAATCGGGATGCTGCACAGACATGACAAGATGATGAATAGAGAAAGGGGCATCGTAAGAGGCGTCATGCTGTGCTTTTTCTGTTGGAATCCGATGAGAAAACCTGCTGAGAGTTCATTTCATTACGCATCCAGTGAACAATTTAATTAGTGGCGCTTAAAATAGTCTTCTATGCATTGCACGGCTATTGATGAGGAGGACGGCGTCTGGCTGAACTGTTTGTAGATTGTAAAACTCGGCAACAGTTACTCGATTCATTTTAGCACTGACACTTATGAAAATGAATTTGAGTATTATGTAGTAGAGTAATATGTAAGGAATTTATATTAGCATTTCTGTGATAAAATATAGTATTTTAACAGTAGTCACAGCTCAGAATTAAATATAAGCTGCATTTTGGAAAGAAATAAAAGAATAACGGATCAGTGGTTCACTCCCCTGACTATTGTGTAGGCAGGGTGGGTTCAGTTCCCACTAGGTGACGGTCTAAGTGTGAGTGTGAATGGTTGCCCATCTTTACATGTGTCCTGTGATTGACTGGCGATGGTGACGGGTGTATTGTATACCTACCCATCGTCACTGGGTATTGACTAAAGATGCTTTTGACACTTTAAGTAATGTAGAAAATGGATGGATGCATGGTTTTTAGGTTAAATGATCCGTATAAAGTACTGTCTTACAGCTGCAGCTGTTGTGAAAGCTCTATTTATACAAAGGTGTATCGTATTGGATTGATTCGGAATAAAGAAAAAAACTGTGTCATCTGGTGGGGCACTCAACAAGATTGAGAACTGTGGAATTTGTCTCACACCAACTCGTCGGGGTGGTGGGGTAAACAAAGTTAGTTGTATCTTTTAAGACTATCTTCTCGTTCATGGTCCCCAGGGCCCCCACTCCCTCCACAGGAGGTTCAGGTCCAGTGTGGTCAGACCCCCGGGGTTCTGCAGGTTAGATGGAAGCCCCCGCCGCTGACTACAGCTGGTACTTCCAACGGTGCCAGTGTAATTGGCTATGCTGTATGCACAAAGGGACAAAAGGTACCTGGTTGTTGTTATTCTTGTGAAGCAATGTGAAATGTTTAGTGGTGTTCTTTTGCCACCTTCTGGAGGAAGGTAATAATGTCAATACCCAGCTAAAAATCAATAACTCAATAAATAAATACAACGAATGTCGAATGTCAGCACGTTTATCATCTACGTGTATTTTTTACTCAGGTTCAATAATAACAAAAAATATATATATCTCTTTAATGAATAAATGAAACTCATACACAACTCCCAAAAAGTTTGGGGTATTGGTGTCAAAGGTTTTGCGAGGTAGTCATGTAGGACCCCAAAAAAGCAGGGAGGCAGGGAGGAGCAGGGTGGAACTGACCAATATGTATTTAACAGAAATACAAACAGGAGTACACTGAAAAACTACTCACTACAAGTGCTCAAACAAAGTCCTGGAAATCACAAGGAGCCAGAGTAACAAAAGAAACCCGTGACAGAAAACAAAACGTGACAGGAGTGGCACACACAGACACTCACAACTCACAATGACCCACCAAAGACCGACAGAACTCAGGGAACTAAATACAAGCAAAGTGACGAGACAACGAGAAACACCTGGACACGACACAAAGGGTTGAGGGAGCTGATTGGCTAAACACAAGGGACACTGATGACGAGAACAGGTGGTGACAAAAAGGGCGCATGAGGGAACAAAACCAAACGTAACCAAACAGAAACATAACAATTGGGCTTTTGGGTAAAAGTTCAGGATGAACGTAAAATGCACTATAAATTTTACAGGTGAACTGTTCAATGTCTCAGATGTTTTGGCACACGTTGCTCTTCTCGAATAAGGTGCTGGAGGACAAAATTCACCATGAAAATTTCCAAGGATGATGCCTTTTATGTGGCTCTTCCACTCTCTCTGTATCTGTATTTCATCCTGCTGATGACACTCGATGACACTCTAAGTAAGATCAGTGGCCATTTCTCTCTCCATACATCTATTTTGAAGCAGGGCAATGGCGAGGTACTGTTGATCTACTCGGTCTTGGGCTCATGATGTCATGAAAACGTGAACAGCATGATGAAGAGGACTATTGAAATACCAATTCGAATCGAACCAGCAAATGTATTGATCATTTCATGGATCTTTTGTGAATTTAGCATTTCAGCTCCTTGTTGTGCAAAACTTCCTTGAACACGTGCATTCAAAATTTGCAAGAAGTTTACCTGGGCACTGTAGGTTCATCCTGAAATTTCACCTGAACTTTTTGTGAATAGTGTACAACTTGATTTATAGAGTGGAAGGCCAAAGAATAAAAATGTTTTTTAAGACGAGTTTTGAAGACGGACAGAGAGATAAACGTCAGGCAACCCCCCGCTTGTCTAAAGTTTATCCGGAGATCATTCCAAAGGCCGGCAATGGAAAAAACTCAGGCCCCCTCTTAGTCATCGGTACGTCGAGTTGTGTCTGGTCTGCTTGCTTGATGCAGAGGTGGGGGAGCTCAGAGAAGTAAGGTGGGGCGAGACTATTGAAAGATTTAAAGACAAATTAAAGAATCTTAAAATGTACAGGGAGCTATGGAAAGTTGGCCAAAATTGGAGTAAGGTACTCCCTCGAATGAGCTCCAGTTAGGAGGCAAGCAGCAGCAACTTGGACCAACTGGAGACGCTCGAGGGAGGACTGGCTGACTCCAAAATAATGTGCATTACACTAATCCAACCGAGATGTAACAAAGGCATTGGATTCCAGTTTCTAAATGCTGTTGTGAAAGGAAGGGCTTTACTTTGGCCAGCTGCCTAAGGTTTTAGAAACAAAAGAAGGATTTAAGAACAACACCAATTTGCATAAATGTACCGACTGTAAAATCTTTTGTTGATGCTGCTGGGGTTTTTTTTTGTTTTTGTTTTTTTTTGCAGATTGCAGAGGTCTTGTACCCCACAGCAGATTATGTGACGGTGGAGTTAAACAGAATCCAATGTCTGGAGGCCAGGGAGGTCATCGTAAGGACGTTGTCAACTCAAGGAGAGTCCCAGGATTCACCTGTGGCCATCATCCCGCATAATTTATTGGGCTCTCCTCGCCTGTCGCATCGAACTACTGGGCCACCGCACACTTTGCCGCACCCACCGTCTCATCCCGCCCTCTCCCAAACTCATCCTCCTTATCCATCCACATATCCGCCCATTCATCCCCAGCCACAGGTGCAGCCTCTGCCTCGGGCCCAGCCACACACGCTGCCCCACGCGCAGACGCACTCGCAGCCCATCTGTCACTCTTCACCCCACGCCAATCCTCAGTTGCAGCGCCAGCCCATGCCCAAGTCCAAACCGCTCATAAGTGCCAGAGAGCCAGAAACCAAAGAGCATGAGGCGAGCATACGGCCCGCCCCGCCCTGGGAACGCTCCCCTTCCCCGCTGCCCCCGATGCGCGGACCCAACCTGGAGCCGCCGGCCTTCCAAACACGGCGTTCGCCCTCTCCTCAGAGGATCCTGCCGCAGCCTCAGGGAGTCCCCATCCCCAACACTATCGCCAAGGCCATGGCCAGGGAAGCCGCCCAGAGAGTGTTTGCCGAAGGCAACAGGGTATGATAACAGTTTCACTGTCAATCACCTGCAACATAATTATTGGTTGAACTACACTAGCAAGAAGGCGCAAGGTTAAAACCTTAATCGGGAACACTCATACACATACGGTACATCAATAATCCAAAACGGAGCACACATCTTGACACTGCATGATCTGATATCTCTTATCAGGGGGAGAAGAGGAACATCTTCAGCGAGCGGGGTAACGCCCTACACCCACTTAACTCCGATGAGGAGGAGGACGGTTATGATTCTCCTCATGCAAGAAGAAAAGGGGCTTCGGTGGATGAATTTCTGAGAGGCTCTGAACTGGGCAGACAGGTATTATTAGGTTGTGTTTTTACTGTACAGAGTATCATGTGTGTGCGCGCTCAAAGGCAAAGTGTCATTTCTAAATGCAGTTATCTGTGCCAACTGGAGAGAACGATTTTAAAAAACAAACAATATACCGTAATTTCTGGACTATAGACCGCACCTGATTATAAGTCGCACCATTACATTTTTAAAGGAAAAAAATATTTTGTACACACATATAAGCTGCACCTGTGTATAAGCCGCAGGTGCCCATATTGTAACATTAGATATTTACAAAGAAAGACGGTACACAGGCGGCCGTTAGAAAAGTCTTTATATAAGCCGCTTCATGAAATAAGCCGCAGAGTTTAAAGCGTGTGACAAAAGTCGCGGCTTATAGTCCGGAAATTACGGTAAATGGTCTCATTTGTTTCATGTACCCTTTTAGCACCATCATCATCATCACCACCACTACAGCCATAGTGAGGAGTACTACACAGAGAGCAGCCGGGGATCAGACTTGTCTGACATCATGGAGGAGGACGAGGAAGATCTCTACTCTGAGATGCAATTGGAAGAGGGCCGCAGGAGGAGTATCAACTCTCACAACTCTCTAAAGGTACGACTGCACACCTCGGGTCTGGCGACACCGAGTAGGGCAGATGGTGGAATGGTCAGGTTGGGTAGCGGGTGTTCGGCATCACCTTTCCAAGGTTTTTTGCAACCAAGCCCACAGTGGCTTTGCCTGGCTGAGTGCTACTGGATTAATTCATCTGAATTCACCCCGCCCTGCCCCTCCAGTTCTGCTTAATGCAAGGCTGAGCTCATGAGAATGGCTGCATATACAGCACATATAATAGTTCGTATACCATGACACCAGATGGAGGCTGAATATTAAAACAACGTGCATTCCTGGTTTGCGCTGCATTTTTGATGTGCTTTGTGTTTTACTAGTGTAAGACATTTCTTTTGTGATTTTATATAGAGCCGATATCTACGTATATATGGAAATCAGACAAATGATACCAATGTACAATTGCAGTGGGTCATGGCATATCGTGTGCACATGGGAATCTCATTTAAGTGAGCACTTAAATGTAAATACTCACTTTTGCTCATGTCTGTCATGTTTTTGGCATTTAATTTTTACTATTGGCAGTGGTCGTCAGTGCAATTCTGTGGTCATTTGTTCTGTGTGGATGTAAAACCATAATGGTCACTCAGTGTCGTATTACATGCTGTCAGAAGTAAAACTGCTCAGACTTGAGGATCAAAATGGCACGGAATATGAAATTCACGTAACCTATTCATCTATGGAGTTACTGTGTGTTAATTTTAAATCAAATTTCACCATTGTTTTTTCATTGCCATTTACTTGAATATAACTGTTGCAGACGTCGTACCCCCCTTCTTCCAAAAAGACTTTCAGCACCTTGAAGGTAGAAAAGTGAAATAAAAGCCATTTCCCATTTACAGTACACATAGATTCAACACATTAGGATTAGAATGACTAGCTGTCTGTTACAACACAGGTGGAATTTCTGTATACCGTATTTTCCGCGCTTAAAAGCTCACAGCGCGCCTTAAAATCCGATGCACCTTGTGTGTGGTCATTACGGTAATATTTCAACCCCAAAATGGCTCCTTGCTCGAGACATGCTGACAATGCAGAGTTCAAACTCAAGGCGATCGGTTACGCAGTTGAACACGGAAATAGAGCAGCGGCAAGAGAGTTCAACGTTAACGAGTCAGTGTTGTAACTCGCTGTTGGTTAAGTGAACTGTGTCGCCACTTTATGAAATCTTTTTTACTGACATCTGATCGTTCTGTTGGCGTTTCCTTGAGCATAGCTCCATCTAGTGGATGCATTGTAGATTGCGTCTTATAATGCGGTGTGCCCATTGTATGAAAAAAAAAGACAAAATAGGCCATTCATTGAAGGTGCGCCTCACAACCCAGTGCGCCTTTTAAGGTGGAAAATAGGCTACCTTGCAAGTGTAAATGGTGACAATGTTGAGCGGTACTCCTGCGTCCTCAGCTTCTTGTTGGTTTATGACTAATTTATTGGAGCTGATTTCTTTCTTCTCAACCCCTCACAAGTAAACCCACCAACATTCTTTTGCTTTGAGTATTTCACACTTTTCATGAACAAATGTCCCTTTTTTTTTAAACCCACGCTTACCTCTACGTTCACGTTATTTGTCAGCTGTCACTCCATCATTCCACAGATTCCTGTTCAGAGCATGCCATTTCCTCTTTTCACGGAATGAGACTGCATGAGTTGCTTGATTGCCACAAATAACTAATTATGTCTTTATTTTGTCTTCCCCCCATTTATTCTATTCACATGTTGTGTTGTTTCCTGCCTGTGTTAAAAACCTTCAAACACGTGTCAACTTCCCCTTCCAAAACACTAAACCTTTTGAACTGACTCGTTGAACTGTGAAAACGTGTGGAACTTTGACTCGTGGAGGCGTATTACAAGCGGCAAGACCTTGCTGAGGAAAGAGACTGCTGGGACCTCCAGAGGGAGGTCGTAAAGCAAAAATCGCTGCGTAGCAAGCGTCTCCACAGCATCCCGGAAGTAGAGGAAGAGACAGACGCTGTGGACAACATGGGCCAGCGCCTGTGCTTCGAGGAAGGCAGACGGCCGGGAACCCCGCACGCTGCACGGAGGACGTACAGCCATGACGGTTACAAGCACAACCGTGTCTCCTCCTCCAAGAGCCTTCGCCATTTGCAGCGCCAGCGCTCCTCGCCTCGCTTCGCCGACATCCGCTACTACTACAATGCAGAGGACCGTATGCTGGGTTGGCCTAACCGCCAGAACACCAAGAGTCCTGACAGTGGTCTGGACTGCGGTAGTGAGGAAGAAGGATCGCTGGGCAGGGGTCATCGAGGTTACTATACCCACGGAGCTCCCATGCGCATCATCCACTGTGAAGGGCCGGTAGAAAGGCGGGCGCTGGCCATGGGCCGTAAGAGAACTTTGACGCGCCAGTGCAGTGTAGAAGAGGAGTTTGCTGACATTCCAATGACCTCTGCAAAGTCCGTCCACACTGGTGACTTTAAAAACCGGGAACACTTTGGGCCACGGAACTACCCGCGGCAGGGGGCCCAGAGTGAGGCAAGGCTGAACGAGCTGGACAGAGTCTATTACAGTCCTCACAGGGAGGCTAGGGCCCAGTCTTTGTCCAGGCTCCACTGGGACCAGTCGCCGGTGTGTGATTCGCACTTTCTGCTGTACTTTACAATCAGCAAGCTGCAGCAATTTTTATTTTCTGAATGTTGTGTGTTTTTCGTCATGATTATTCCCTCTCTCATCATTTGATGGTTTCGTTGTCTGATCGCATTTCATGGTTGGTCTGATTTTATGTTATGTTGTGTAAGTTTGCTTGTTCTCTGACTGACAGGTGTTTTTCTTTTTTTTTTTTAATATACAGCCAAGCTTTTATTTACCTAAAGGCCATTTTAACAAGTTTTGAGTTGTCATGTCTTGATGGCTAACGTTCCCGTTTAAAGGACAGCAGTTGCTAAGCTGCTTCACTATGCAAAGCGTGGTTAGTTCACGCCATCTGTCTGCTGGCTGCATGAGTCATATTTCATGACTTGTTGAACACGACCCTTGTGCGCAGGGCTTCACTGCAGAATCTCACACACACACACACACACACACGCACACGCACACGCACACGGCAAGTTCCTAGTTGCTAATTATGTCAGTCTACCTTAACTCTTTAACTTGTTCGGGCAAAAAAAAAAAGTATCCTATTTTGTTATGATGCACTTTGGTGATTGTCAAGCTTACCATCCTCAAGACAAAACAAACCTTCCCTTATTTTCTGCAGCACCAATTTGTTTCTTGTCATGGAGCTGACATGCACAGAACAAAACAAACCAAACAAATGGTCTTTAGTTGAACATGTGGCCCTACTAACCCCAATCCATGGTGCAATGTTGGGGGTTGATTTCATTTACTTGTGTCTTTATGGTTTGTTTGTTTTTTTGCTATAATTTAGCCTTCCTAAGGACAAATGGACTCAATCATTTGCTCTTATGGCCTTTTAGTTGTTTTGACAGACTTGTGGGATTTTTTTGTTTGTTTGTTTTCGTGTCAAAGGACAACTTTTACCCCATGATTTAATAATTTGCTTATTGTTCTAACTGTTTGTCTTTTCTTATTCTAAAGCTCATTGGAAACTCCCCATCTCACGGAAATGCCAACCGTCTGGACCATACGGGGCGGAAGCCGGTTCACATCGGCAGCCCCCCCCAGCGACGGCCCATCCCGTCCATTGGTTAGTGAGGTCACCAAATGAGGAGGCATCCCAAAGCCACCTAGAGGGCCACTGATGTCTGTTGCGATCAATACCATGTGTCTCCCTTCCCCATGTGAGCCGAGCTGTACATCACTTCCATAGCGCATAAACATCACGTGGCCCCCTTATGTCGGGTGTCTGCATACTCTGTAGATACGGTACATCGTCATGAGCTGGACTGGCCAAATGTTCATGTGCAATTGTGCGGGAAAGTGACCCCCCTAAGATGTGTTAACAGTCGGTCAACATGTTTACAAGTCGCCCTTGCAACAGTGCAAGCATTGCTGTTTTACATGACTCCAAAGTGAGTCCCCATAGCCATGTGTTTTTCCACTTCCCCAAACCCTTCCTTCACCTTCTTTGTCATCCAACTCTCCCGGCATGATTGAATGGGCCGTGTGACGGAGCAGAGTGCGCGCGTGTGGAGAATCTCTGACCATGATGCTGTGATTGGTGTCTTCTGTAGAGATCACCATGGACAGTAACAGTGAGGGGAGTGAGGGCAACCTCTCACCTGTCAAGGAGGATGTTTACTATGGGAGTGTAGCTGGGCGAAGATTATGGCCATCTATATCCTCAGAGGATCAATATGGTATGTGGCGCAGCTTCTCACCAAGAGTTCAGTTATCCGACTAACTTAGCATAATTGAGTGAATGGACAGGGAAAGATTGGCCATTTCACTTTGCAAGAAGCCTGAACCCTCCAACTCTGCCTGATCACCTTGCATTGCAATACCCCTTGAGCACCAGTTTGGTTCAGTTTGATACATTCACTTTTTTTTTCTCTTTTAAGTATACCAGATTCATATTGCACCACAATTCGTCGAGAATTCAAGTTTAGTTGGGGAATGGATTCAAAGCCAGAGCCGCCATGAAGCACTGTAGCGCGTTAGATTCTTTTTGTAATCCATTAGTGGGTTACACCATGAAAGGCTGCGATCAAGACACTCTGCCAAGCTGAACTGAACTACTGCTACGGCTTACTGTAAAAAATGGCATCAGCCCACCTTGTTTTATTTTTTTAAACCATTCCTCTAATCCTGTTTTCTGGACCAGGTTCCACTTTTTACTTTTAATTTTTGAGTGACTCTTTTGAGTTTACAGTGGAACTTCTAGAGTGGAATGCAAGCTGTTTAAAGGTGCTGGTCAAGTTTCTTTACGATCAAGGAAATAGAAATAAAAGTCAAGGGCCAAAGTGTTGATGTCATAATGCGTTTGTTCAAGATACACTCATAATTGAGTCATTTGCAGTCAAGCAAGTGTAACATTTGGTGAGACTATGAACAGTAAAATGCTTGATAAACTGCCCTTGTGTGAGGTGTACATGGAACTCTCGCGTGGTGTCATCCATGACTATGTTCAAAATGTGTGTTGAACAAAAGCCTATTTTTCTTGACATTTTAGCTCAAATTCGGGATTATACCCCTACAGGGCCTTCGAACTTTAGTGGTTCTACTGTATTTAGAATGAAACTCCCAAATCACTGACCGGTATTTGAAGAATACTCATAAATTCTTGTGCGTCATAGTTGTTAACATTAATGAATCCCTTTTTCCCATCATCCAAAACGCTTGTCATTAGTTTTAACCATTTGTCAGACCGATTGTTCAGGCTGACCATTGAAACATATGACATGATGATTCACAAAAAGCATGAAGAACTGGTACCGGGTTCATCCCTTTTCCCCCCTCACTGGCCTCATCGAGAACTTCTCGGGTATTTCATGTCTGTGTCAGTCATGCAGGTCGTGGTAATCCGCAAAGGTTGAATCAAGGCAACTGGACTATTGTTTGTTCGAGACGTTTCACCTTTAATCCAAAAGCCTTCTTTGGGTCTACTGTTTAGGTGTGGAGTCCCGAAGCTTACTTATGCCTCTATTTATGAGTCTTTTCCCTGGCGGTGATAAATAATACGGTGTTTTTGCACCGTATGGCGAATGAAACAAATGTCCTTCATACCCAGCAATCTGACAAACCCGCCACGTATGGGACCACCACATTCCACGTCCTGTTTCAGTCTTCAGGCTTAGGCGTCATAACTCGTTTTCTCTTGGCGCAGGCCCCGTTTGTAGACGCACTGTTTGTCAGAGCCTTCCCGATGTGAGTCTGTGGTGGGGATTTTCTCTGCTCTGTCCTTGGGGGTTCTGATAACCCCTTGGCTTGAGATCCAGGAGGTGACGGGAGTCAAAGAGAAGCTACTGATCTGTGTGTGTCGGTTTTCTGGATACCTCAACATTGAGGTCTGCGTCTCTCTCGGCCCACGTGTTATAGTCCAAAAATGGCAACGTGTCCTCTTTGATGTCTTCCCATCTCTTCTTTCTGTCCACAGAGTTGAAGTGTTCAGTTAACAAAATCTACTTTAATCTGCCATCGGCATGCTTGCACCCGTGGCTGGGTTAAGTTCCTCTGAAGGAGTCCGGTGCTTTTCTTTCCACTTTTTCCATGAATATATTGGCCACAATTCAAACAAGAACATTCCAGTTGCCTTGATTCGGCCTTTAATGTGTTTTCTGTGTCTGGAATGGGTGTCTGCTGCCCTTTTTTGCTTCCGGGTGTTTTCACACATGGCACACAAGCATGATATTTGGATGTAGGAATGCAACGTCCTCATTATGTCCAACTCAAGGAAGGCATGCTTTTGACTTGGTGAGATAAGGCAGTGAAACAGCAATGAGCAAGCGTGCTTTGCTTCTTGTTTGGTCCTCATATCATCACATTATTGGGTTTTCCCTTCCCCGAAAAGCTGATAAGCTTGTGATTCCGTATCCTGTGATGTCACGCCCACAGCGAAGCACATGTGTGAGGAAAGAGCCAAGTTTGCAGCGTCAAATACATCCTACTCGTTTGCAATTCTCAAATTTGGATTGAATTGAATGAAATGATTTCATTGGCATTTGGCTCTTTCGGTACACATGCATGTCACGTCCTCCCCTGTCAGCTCTAACAAACAGACATCTTCTGCTCTCATTGCCACTGCAGCCCGTGTGGCTGTTTTAGGCTGATAGTAGCAGCAGAGGCCTCCTCTCTGTTTCAGACAGCTACGGCGGACGCAGGCACGGGCAGGGACGCCGTTCGCTGGATTACTTTGAAGAATCGGAACCGGATGAGCTGACGCGTGTCTTTGTGGCCCTGTTTGACTACGACCCGCTGTCCATGTCTCCCAACCCTGACGCTGCTGACGAGGAACTTCCTTTCAAGGAGGGCCAGGTCATCAAGGTAAGGGCTTGGCCTGGAGATGCAACTCAAGTCCACACATTGTCCAGAACAAGATCTCGCACTTTGTCCGTTTGCCCTTTGAGTGTGTTGCTGATAAATGCCAAAAACAACAGTCAGGCCCAGAAGTATATCGGAGGTTTTCTGCCGTCTATAATCCCTCCTTCCTTTTCCTACATATAACCAGTGTAACTTGTCTAGGCATCCATAAAGATGTCTCTCGATTTTATATTATGACAATAATAATGCATAGGCTACAATTTCAGAGTATTCCTGACGCCTTTTGAAGTTGTAACGTTTTGTTTTTTTTTTTGCGATCCTTCACTTCAGTCGTCTTTCTTGCTCACCCGTTAACCATATTTTCATCTACCTTGTCCGTTTAGGTGTTTGGAAATAAAGACACAGATGGCTTCTATAGGGCGGAAATCCGAGACAGAGTGGGTTTGATTCCTTGCAACATGGTCTCCGAAATCCAAACGGAGGATGGGAACATGATGGGCCAGCTACTCAAACAGGGCTTTCTGCCACTCAACACTCCCGTGGACAAGTTAGGTGAGGAAACGTCCACTGACACTATGCTGTTGTCTCTTGTTTGATTCTCTGCTGTTGACCCTTCTCCTTTATTTTTCTCCAATTTTCCCATTTTTTTGATTTTCTTCTTTCCTATGAAGTAAACTGTGATCGTTTCAAAGATGGACGCGCAATAAATCGCAGGTCCAGAAAGTCCAAGCGAGGTCTGTGTCCTGTCCTCTGCTTCCTGCTCGATCTTCTTATTGTTGACTATTTGCTTCCTTTTAAAGCTACCTGAAGCTGAGCTCAAGTTGTTGACATCAGTTTACACTTCTCGAATTGAGAATAAATACAGTATATTCTTTAGGAAATAATGCAAAGTGAATCATCAGTGACGGTTCTGTGAAGTTATGGTTTTCACAACAAGGGTTCACGTCTCTGTTAGAACATTTCTAATGCATGACCTCCACTTTTTTCCACACTTTAGATCGACACTTTGATCCATTTTTTGTTCTTATGTGGTTCCACTACATGCTAGACATCTTGCAATATCACTACTACTACCACTACTACTGCTAATAATAATGATCATAAGAATAATAATAAGCTTGGATGTCAAACCATCACAAATGATAGCATTATTAATTTATTTCCTGACTTTGAGATCCGATCGTGAAAATATGTACCGGTATGCATTACGCTGTTCTTGGTTCACAGAGAGAAACAGACGGAGTGGCCGTCAGCATCCGATGACAACCCGCAGAATGGTGGCACTGTATGACTACGACCCAAGAGAGAGTTCCCCAAACATTGATATTGAGGTACTGTCCTCCTACATAATAGCCATCTTTGCAGGATTTTCCCAAAAAATAAAATAAAAAATAAGAAGAAATAAAAATGTTTTAAAAAAATACATGGAATGAGCACTTGACATAAATTTAGGGAAAAAAACAATTTGACTAAAGTGTATACTGCAGACGTGGTTCTCCTCATGAATAATGCCCCATTCATATTTTACAAGTTGCGTTTTTAGTGACACCATTTGAAACATCATGCTAATTTTGATGCGTGAATAATGCCCCATTCATATTTTACAAGTTGCGTTGACACCATTTGAAACATCATGCTAATTTTGATGCATCGACTTGGGGATAACCTTCGAATTTCAGCTCTTACAGTCACGGACGTGGTGGTGGAGCAGGCAAGAGGGAGGAGCAGGGTGAACGTGACAAACTGTATTAACGAAACACTGAGAAAACCAAATCCAAAACAAGCAAAGTCCTGAAAACAAGAATTCAAAGTAACAACAAAACCCATGGCATAAGCAAAACATATGATCTGATAAACACAAACCAACAGAGGCAGTGACAGCAACAAAAGCAGCAACAATAACCCGACACCGAGTAGTCAGGCCGGGAGTCCTTTTAACAGAAAATCTACTAATGACATGATGACCAACAGGTGTGCCGCTGTAGGAGGAGCCCTACAGAGCCACCTGTTGGTCCCAAACAAATCAACCGTGACACTTACAAGCTTATTGGTAGATACTTTTGAGTGACACTTAGGAGCAATCAGAAAAGGGGATCACCGAGCAGCAGACAAAGCCAAAGGAGATACGTTGCGAAACAAGGAAGTTATACTGTGTTGCTCAAATCTGAATGTGTTGTTGGACTGGATTTCCAAAAAGCGATATCACACAAAAACATTTCCCTAAAAAGCCATTTGTTCCAACCAAGGTTATTATAGTGAAGGAAAGTTAATGAAAACACAGAAAAAAAAGTTAGCAAATTAAAAGGGAAAATGCTTTTTAAAAAATGACATGACATTGTTCATTTGGAAAACTCACTTTCACTAAATTAGACCAAAATGCCCTTTGTTTTCATCTTTGTCAAATAATGTCATACATGAGCTTTCAGGGTTAATTTGAAATATATTCATTTCGGTATTGCTGTATGTCTGTATAGAAGAGGGACACTCAAATAGTCGTTTGAGAATTGTAGTTTACCCTGTTTCATCACACAATACTTCAGTGCACCTTTTCTTTTTTAATCGGCACCTGAAAAACACTCCACACACACACACACACACACACACACACACACACACACACGCACGCACGCACACATGCACACACACATTAATATATATGAACATATTTTTAAATGTAAAATAATATAATTCAGGGCTTTTCACATTCTTTTGCCTCTTTCTTTCATTTTGAAGTTAAAATCCGGCAAGTTTATGAACAAGTCACGGCTCAGGTAAAACAAATATTTGGGAAGACATAATGATGTTGTGGCGTCGCTCCATCTGGGAAAGTGCTGCAAATAACACTTCCGATAATGGATATCGACATACAACAAACTAGCAACAAACCCTGATCAAACTGCCCCGTCTGCTCGGCTTAATGTTGCGTACAATTCTCCAAAAGGTACCAGTTGGTGCTTCTGGTTTATCGTGTCTCCGCTACGGTATCAGCCTAAAGCTGGGGCAAGATGGATTTGTGAAATGACATACCTGTAATCTCACAAGTCAGTCTGCCTTTAGAAAGGTCCGGGTAAAACTTGTCGCAAATTGTTTCTTTCCAGCCCTTGGTTTTTACTTACTCTCACCTTTCTATTGGCACTCCCATCCCACCGACACAGTGTGAGGGCCACAGACTAGATGACGAGGTGAGTGAGGGTGAGGAGGATGCGTTGCTGTATGCTCTGTGTGTGTTTTCCTTCCTTAAGTGTTAGCGTCCAAAGGAGATGCTGGCGTTCACAGCTCTGAGTCCAGGGCGGTCACTAAAACAAAAGCGCTCCACAATGCCTGAGCTCGCGTCTCCCCTCCTCACTGTGGTCTTTGTGTCAACTTGTCTGCGCCATGCTGTACATACACCGCATACTGTACGACAACCGTTTGGCTTGTTTGTCCTACCTCGAGGATGCCACAGAAGAGATGTGCCCGGTGTGCCGCCACCCTCTCTTCAATAGTCCCAACATATGTTCTCAGTTACTCCAGTTCAATTGACACTGCTGTCCATTAATGTGATGCTTCACATTAATTTGGAGGACGCAATTCACACACTTCCCAGTTCCCACCAAATAGATGTGATGTTTTTACAAAGTCTGTCATGACATAAGGATATCAATAGGCTTCATGTGGTCTGCTTTTTCATTCGGACAGGCTGAATTGACTTTCTGTGCTGGGGATGTCATCACAGTTTTTGGGGAAATAGATGAAGATGGATTTTATTATGTAAGTACCTTTTTTTTTCCATTTCAAACATTTCTTTTTCATTTGTATTCACAATAAATTCTTACAGTTTCACATCAAAGCACATTTGGTCTGAGGAATCGAATCCTGTACACATTCTAAAGTTTTTTTGTGTGTATATAAAATTTCGACTAACACATTTATACTATAAATGATTGAATTGAGTGGCGGATGCTTTCCCACTGACAAACCTCAGTATAGTTCTACCTCCCACCCTGTCATTACCTAAATGTATGTTGCTCTCCGACCTAATTGCTGCACTTTTACTTCATGCCAAGCTCTCTGGCGCCCTCCACTGGGAGAAAAAACACGCACCTTGAAATTCCGTAAATGAAAAGCCGTTGATACGTTCCTTATATTTTGTTAATATGTATTTTAAAATACAGTAATCCCTCGTTTATCGCGGTTAATGGCGACCAAAACCACCGAAAATCTGCGAAGTAGCGACCCCCCCCCCATAGGTACAGTACATGTACATGTGTATGAGTATAAAAAATATTTATAAGGCCAAATTTAATGGTATACATGCATGTAGAAGTAAATTTTGATGTAATTAACCTTACTTAATGCTGTATACTAATAGATTTAAACATGTATAAGTTAGGTTAGGTTAGTGTATGAATAACAAAATACAGTAAACATATACATGTAGTACTGTATATGTTGCTCTATGTGACTCGTTGTTTTGCTGACTTTCGCAGCTTCTTGCGGACGTTTGTGGACTTTTTGCGGACTTAATTATTTATTTATTTATTTATTTATTTTTATGATTATGTTTGAAAAAATCCGCGATGCACTGAAGCCGCGATAAATGAACCGCGAAATAGCGAGGGATCACTGTACATCTAATAGTATGCTCTTTATCCTCACAAGCAGGACAATTCAGCACACTAGTAGGACACGCTGTGACATTGTTTTGTTTTTTTTTGTTTGCCACTGTGAAACCCCTGAAGGTATACAGTAATCCTTTAGCGTCACAACAACCAGTGACACTTTTGACACACTAAGGCAGCAAAGTAAGGAAATGTCTGCATGGGAGATTGGTGTTGTGACATTTACTTGATATCTTTGAGAAGAAGTTAACTATAGTGACACATGCCAATACTACGAGGGCCGAGTCGTTACGATTGTGCAGCACTGTAGTAGGCAGGTTAAATAGGACAAAACCTGGCACTAGTAGTGGGAGGGTGGGGGGGTCATTTGAAGTACACAAATGAAAATAAGTGTTACCATCCTTGTCCTCCTTTACCTTAGGGTGAGCTCAACGGACACAACGGTCTTGTTCCTTCCAACTTTCTAGAAGAAGTGCCTGATGATGTCGAGGTTTTTCTCACGGACTCACCTTCACGATACCCCCAGGACACTCCCTCACGGATAAAGACCAAAAGGGTACATGCTCCTTTGCAGTACTAGGCCTGTCATTATGTTTATTCTTCTGCTTCCGTTTCTTTTTTCCTCTTTTAGTTTTGTGTGTTTCTCATTGGTCAAAGTGCAAGGACATTTTGGCTGATGGTGTAAATAGATGTGTACGATCAATGAGAATAAAAACTTTTAAGACTAATACTTGGCAGAACAATTTTTATGTTTATGGCGGAAGCTCTACAATGTGCAAAACTATACATTAACATATATACATATAGTATTTATAAAGCATTTTCAATTAAAGTATAACCTTTGTAATTGTTCTGTTATGTCTCAAAAGCAGCAGAAAAACACCATTTGTGTTTGAGCGGATTCTTTATCATTTTTCTGTACGAAGAGATGATCACGTAGAGTGTAGTCCAGCATGATTCAAAAGTTCACATGCATGAGTTTTTCAACATTTTGACTAAAGAAACAAACAAGCAAAGAAAAAAACACTCACTTTTGTAAATTCTTTGAAACGGGATCGGGGAGCTTGGTTTCTTGTAATTTAGCCCCCGTTACTCTTGGAAGCATTTTTTAAATGTGATGTTATTTTTTTTGTTTAACAAATACAGTATGCAATGATTTCTAAAACAGGTGCCGTGACATAATTTTCTGTCTTCTAATTTGACATTTTTTTTTTAGTGCCAACTATTGAAATTCCATCACCATCTATATATATTTGTGATTTCTTTTCTTCACCTGCTTGGCAAAACAGAAGAAGAGTGTTCATTTCACACCTTAAAGGCTGTGTTTCCATCACGTAAGTGAGCAACTGAAGATACCAAGATTAAGTTCCCCCTCGTCTAATGCAGATGACATGGGTACCTTTAGTTTGTGGTATGCAATATGTAGACCTTATTCCTCTTTCCTCTTTAATGCTGTATCACTTTTAGGCAGCGTGACGGTTGTTCCCGGGTTGGCCAAAACTCTCAACATGCTGTTTTTACCGTGTGTTGGTTGGTGACAGTAACCATCGCCAATGCATTAGACAAGATTTGTGGTATCTTCAGTTGTTTCTCCTCCGAGTGTTGTACATGCCGATGTGTGTCTCCTCAAACGAGTCTCCTGCTGTAACTCGTTCTAAGCTAAAAGGCGATTTGGCACTACCCCCATCCCTCAGATGTCCCGACCCAGTTAAAACCCGCACTTTGAAATTACCAGAGCTGCGCATTCCATCAGTACTGACGGATGTCCGTCAGTCCGTCACTGACAGATTTTGCTGACGATTGACAGGAAAAAATAAAAATAAATGACGCACAAAGCACTGACTGAAGTCCGTGTAACGGACTTCTCAGTCCTTCTCTAACGGATGAATTTTGCTAATGAATAACGACGTGGGGTTTTTTTTTGTTGTTGTTTTGCGTGGTACAGATTTACGGACCGGTAAAAATGACCAACGGAAGTGATGACGAACCGACTGACTGAAAATCGAAAAAAATTTGAAATGCTAATATATTTTTTTTCCTTTTTTTAATACATTTGTTACTTTTTTTAATACAGTAACGGACATGGAAGTTCTGGATTGTACAAGTAAAATGTGCTTAGATGAAGAAAGACAATTGTGAAAAATGTATAAATATCCTTTTATGGCACAAATTCAAAGTGTCCATAGCAACAAGCTGTAATTAAATTTTGAAATTCTGCAAGAAAAAAGTCATGCGGAATGGACTAAAGTTTCAGTACACTTTTCCATCACACCGACAAGTAGTAAAAAACAAAATGACAATATGGACGTGCGGCCGTGACAACGACAGTATCTTCCACTATTCTGGTAAAACTTCCTATTGTTTTTCGATGATCCAAAAGAACAAAGTTGAATGCATCTTATACTACTCACAAAAACTACAGAATAGTAAGCTTTCGGGTGAAAAAACGTCATGAACCTGAAATACACTACATAACCTTTACAGATGTACTTGTAACCTTTATACTTTGGAATGCAAATATCCCAACTGTGAAGTGTTTCAGTACCAATTGCGCGTTTGCAGTTCAAAGTTTCAAGGTTTGATCACCCAACAAAGGCTGAGGTGCATTTTAGGCTCATCTTGAATTTTCACGGGAAAGCGACATTTCATGTCACTTACAGTTAGTGTGATCCAAAACGTCTTGGTAAAATGAAGTCTCAAGTGATGCAGATGTGTCTCAACACTTTGGTCCACCCACCACAGCATATCAATACTGTACCTGTATGTCTTCCTAAAGTGCAACTTGAAGCCTTTTAGCTTATGATTACAGAAAAGGGAGTCGTGACTAGTCATTTCTCTGTAACCCAGTTGTATCACTAGTCTCTCTAGCTACAGTACATGTATTTCAGACGTCAATGTGCGATGTCCCCTCTTGTGTCCAAAGGCAAATGTATTTGTGTAAGGAGCTGCCATTATTTGGGAAATGTCGTCTTGTTAAATTGTGGAAGTTAATCGATGCTTCGGCTGTGTTGTTCATGACTGCGGGCAGCTTCATACAGAAACAAGACAAGCAATGTTTGTACCCGGCAGGGCCTCAGAGTGCTTCTAGTTTTTTTTTTCTAGAGCTAGATTTCAGCTCACTGATGGTGTGACCGACAGCTGGCTTTTTAACACCCTCAACTGTCCCCTACGGGTCTCCCATTAGGTTCCAGGGGACAAATGGGGTCGGCCCAGAAGAGCAGGTTCTCCCCCAGTGCATCCACACATCCTGCACTCCCATCAGGGCCCCACTGGACATGCACGCCTCCAAAAAGACAAAAGGACTGCACTCCAAAGGAAAGAAACTGGTACTTGGCGCTGTTAACAGACAACTTGACCTATAGTGGACAGGTGGCATTTATTCCGATAGTTAAAACCTGACAAGTTACTGATGTGAAAGTGGGACCATGGCGTGCTTTTACACGCCGTGGTCAGTATGCTGTGCATTCGGCAAGCGTTTCCAAGTATCATGTTAACCACTAGGGATTTCCCTTTACAAATAAGCACACCGTCTCAGCTACAGGGTCTCCGTAGCCACTTTCGTCTCATAGGTCAAACCTCCATATGCAGTACTTGCCTTATTAGTTTTTTGTTCAACATTTTGTCAAATGTGACCACGTTAATGCAGATGTCTCATTTGTGTTGTCTCGAAAACTACGTGGCACTCTAGTTCAGGCTATGGTAAATGTCCTCCAAGAGTCCTTTACCGATGACTTCAAAATGCAATGCCCTGACACAAAAGAATACATATACATATATATATAATTTTATATCAGTAACAATGAGCACTTTCAGTCCATTAGGACCCTTTGGAGATTGGAATGAAAGTGGAGTCCACCTGACAAAAGGCTACCTCTTTAGAGCCCATCTCTCCTGGACCCAAACCAACTTCATTGGAAATGTTAGATCCCGACACTCGCATGATGATGATGCAGAATTCAAGTACTGTAAACCTATGTGTAGCCACACTTCTTATACTGTCTGTAGTGAATGTATGATCAGTTGAAAGCCAATGTATTTAGCTAGACCCATAACAGTGCAACGACCATCACAGAGCATTAAACCCACATCCCATCCCCATGCGTCAATAGGGACGGGTGTACCCCGAACAAAAACCTCAAACTGCCAAAAGAAAGATCCAATGTATGCAACACAATCTGAAAAATGTGTACACTTCTTGTTCAGAAATATGTCAACCTATGTGACGACCGGCTATTAGACTAACAGTTTCCTGAGTCAACATTGCTTCCAATCATTTTTGTGTGACTGTTGCTCTTTTGTAAATTGTTTATAAATGTTTATACTTGATTTTCAGACTGCCTTTTTTGTACATTCACTTTATAATTATGCAGTGCAAGCGTTTGTCATGGTGTGAAGACCTTTTAGTTTGCAATGTGAGCTAGCTTTATAATAATAATCAGCCTATATTGATGGATTCAAACTACCGTGTGGGTGCATGTGCAATCTTTTCTAAATAAATTTGATATTTTGTAACATTTGTATGTCTGATTGACCAACAAGAAACGACACTTTTTCAGCCCAATCTTTTATATGACAACACAAACAAAACCTTTCAAGAAGGCAGACAATGCCGCATTTTTTACAAATCAATTCAAGATTCTTCAAAAAGTAAAAACACTTTCTGCAGGCACATTGTTGCGAAACTTCAAGGCAATCAATAACACATAAAATTAACCAACTGCTGAACAAGCATTCTCAATCTCAACAAATGAGAGGTTGTCCACCTCTTTATGCTTGTGTATGGAACCACAACAAACATTTTGGGCACAAACGTAAAATCCAGGTATCCCGGTCTTTTGTTATTCCACCCTGAAGATATTCTTAGAAATAGCCCATACATACATATGTACGTGTGTGTGTGTGTGTGTGTGTGTGTGAGAGAGAGAGAGAAAAACAAGAACAAGGGTGTGTTTCGAACAGCCTCTCAAGGGTACAAACAGCATGCAATTTACACAACGCATGAACATACAGGCATGCTTCCTCCCTACAGATAAAAGAGGAGGTCATCCAGCTCCATGTTGGGTTCCCTGTGGAGGCTTTGACCAACAAGGAAGGCCAACTTGTGGGCATACTGACAAGGGGCAGGGACTGCGATGATCCCCTAAAAACAGTAGGAAATAGTTCAAGATGGACATACCAAAAAAAGCAGATTCTGTGGTCTACTTCATTAATAAAGGAAACTGTCAGGTTGAATATTTTAAATGCTACAAACAGTGCCCAATTTTCTGCCATTAAGGATAAACCCCAGTTCCAATTACAGTTCCTTGTTTCGATTCCGGATCCAAATGATCCTTGACTGAGATACTTTTAGGGGGCCGCATTACAGGCTGTAATGAACACTTGACACTGGCCGTGTTCTTTGACCGCACTGTATTGCAGTACTTGCTTCCTACACTGGGTGGCACGGTAGGAGAAATGAAGACGACAGTTAGTTCTCATCTCTCCCTTGTTTTCAACCAGTCACCCACCATTCACCAAGTGCCACTCGAGATAAGTATATATTTGCCGCTTTGCTTTTTTTAACCGTGGGTCTGAATGTTATAGCATGAGATATTTGCAAAGAAAGGCACAGTTGGAATTTTAATGTTTATTACCTAAAAAAAGAGAGGGATGTCCCGATCACGTCTTTTTTTTTTGTCGGGCTGTAATTATTTTGTCGGTTAATTTAATGTAGGTTAAAACGCATTTGCATTTTTTTTTTAACTTACATTTTACACAATGTCCCAACTTCACTGGAATTGGGGGTTTGAATAAGGTGAGTTACCTGCCAGTTGTAGTACATGTGGCACAGCTTGTAGGTGAGCCGCTGCATATGGTCCGGTTTCAGTCCACTGGTGTCATACACAACATTGTAGTGGGTAGGAGAGACACTTCCAAAATTGACTGCCTGGCTCACAATGTAGAAGTCGTACCTGCCAAATGAAGGTCAACATCATTGTGGTCCTCCCAAAGAAAACATGATCGTGATTATTCTGAATGTGGAATAAACGTACCACTCCGGACGAGTGACCTCTGTGTCGACCACTGTCCCTGGTGGGGGGTTTAAGATCTTTCCACTGCTGTGCTCAAAGAGCCTGCAGTTGATGCGCTTTTTCACCACCACCATGCTCAGCTTGGGCCTGGCCAAATGGAGCGACAGTACAAAAAGAAAAGTTCAAAACTGCCACGTTGACTCAAGTGTCACCTGAAGGAAAACTCACATGTACTCTTGGCCCATGGACTTGATGGAGTCGATGATCTGGGCCACCTCGTAGTTGACCACACTGTGCAGCTGTCCGTCCCCCACTCCATCACGGTACACAATGATGCGGGACGGAAAGCATTTGTTGAATTTGTAGTAGTCTTTGAGCGCGCCTGCAAAGCAAATTTTTGCTGAGAGTAGCACTAAGGTTCTATGATTTTGTATAGGGTACAGGATTTGGATTTTGAACTTGCCAGCAAAAGCCATCTTCAGTCCATCCATAATTTCCTGACCTCTGCTTTGCAGTTTGACCTTTGAGTACCATCTAAACAAAAACGGGCGTTACACATTGTAGCAGAGTCAAAGCTGTGCAATGGCTTGGTTCTTTTCCCAAACCTGCTCATGTTCTGATTGAGGCTGGCCACCAGAGCACCAATGGACCTTTTCCCAGCAGCAGTATCGTGGTAGCAATCGATACCCACGATCATCAGCTGCTTCAGCTGCACACAACAAATATGATTGGAACAATGTTGGTTTTGTGTTTCTTTGTATTACTTCACTGCCCTCAAAGAACGGTGGATTTATTGACTGCCACCCACAATACCAACAGTCCATGCTTTAACAACAAGACATCTAAGTTGTTCAGAAACAATTTCAAACGTTCCCGTTTTGCCATCCACAAGTACGATTCTAGTACAAATACTTTGGGGTTTTGCCATCGTTAAAGGTTATTTGTTCAGGTGTAATGTCAAAGTCAGCATCATGACTTGAAATCAATGCCTTTTTGGGGGGCTTGACCTCTGTACTATAGAGGGAACTCAGAGGGGTCACCTAGCGCTTCACTTTCAGATGAAGGAAACTGGACAACGTCTACATAATTTACCTTCATCACAAGCTGCTTCACAAGCAGAAAACCAAGAGTCATTTCCCATGATTAGAACAATGTCTGAAGAGTTTCCGGGACAGGGGAACCCTGTACGAATTTCTTGCTTATCTTGTCGAGGCTATGCCTGTGGACTTACAGGTATTTCAATACTCCATAGCTCTCCGCCAATCTTGCAGGCCATCTGCAGTACAATCTTGGTCGCAATAGTCATGAGGGCTTGAGGTCGGCTGATGGTACGGGCCACAACACACTGGCTGGGAGTGGGGCAAGCCACACACAGGTATTTCTTAATGCTGTCATATTTGTCCTTCCTGTTGCTGGTGAGGACCACCACCACCTATGAACAAGTGGAAGACATTTGCTTTATTCATCACTTCAATCCATTTTGGCAACATTTACCCCACTGACTCAATTACATTTAAATCAATAATGAACATTAACTGTAGAACATTTTGCCACCAACCATCTGTGTCTCAGTTCTGACATTGTGCTGCAGGGACCTCAGCAGAGACTCCTGATGATCTTCATACTCAATCCTAATGTGGGGGAAGCCCAACAGTTTAACGACAAAGGTTGGAGTTAAACAACATGGGTCATTCTCGACTTTTAATGGACCTCACACTTGAGCTTTTTGTAAGGAGATCCTAAGTGGGGCTGCAACTTTGTACAGAGTCTCCAGGAGGCTTTGAGCTTCTCTGTTGTTCCGTCGAGTACAAAGCAGCAGCCAGTTGTGCAGAGGAGGAGAGTAAATCACAGGCAACCCACGCATCTCTTTTGCCCACTCAGCTGTCCGGGGGTTGTAACCATACTAAAGGACAAATCCGTCAAGATCGATTTCAACTTAAAAGAAGGGAAAAAAATGCAACTCTGAAGCATTTATACCGATCTTGATTCCTGTAAAATCCTCTCTGGTGGGAGGACTCTGCCGGTCAGGTTCAGGAACTGCTTGTCAAATTGGAGTCCCCACTTATGCAACTCTGCCTGTGCTTCAGTATCACTGTGAAGTCAGGCAAAAGCTAAAATGACCAAATTTAAAATTGACCAGCGTTTCCTCATAACAGGTAAACACAATCTGAAAAGTTCATGTCACGACCATTATGACGAAAAGTATTGCAATTATTACAATGACTAAATCAAAAAATAAAGGATGTCATTTAAATCATGGGTTTATGAAAACACACAACGAAATGATGAAATTCAATCAACTGTGTTTCCAGCTCAATTTTGTTAGCATGATTAACCACCCAAGAGCTGTTTATTGAGCAACTGCTCTCCTCACATGCATAACAACAACTCCCCCCAACCCGGTGCTCTCTCTCCGCATCACCAAAACAGCACTGCCCCCTAGCGGTGTGGGATGTGAAAGTTATTAAAATAAAACTATGTCTCCTCTTTAAATAACTAACTAAATAAATGTACATTGAGTGAAGTGACCATTGTTGTTTTGGCTTCATCGAAGAAGACATCTTTTGTCACAAAAAATGTGCTCGCTTCCATAGTCTGACACATTTTGATGATGAAAAAGGTCTCCTCCACTCTAAAGCCTCACTCAACTAACATGGCTATCATGGTTTCAGCCAATCAGAGAGTGATAAGCAGGACCCTCCTCTGTTAGTCTTAACTTGGACAAAAGTGGACACTTACTCGTTTATGGCGGCAGAAAATCTGAGAAGGCGTCCTACCCTCTGTTCGGGGACCAGTTTGGTGTGTATACTGAGGTCCTTCATGATGGTGTAGTCTGCTCGCATCTTGTCAGTCAAGCCTTGACAAAGGAGTTTAAATTCTGTTTGTGACAAGTACTTTGCTAACAATTTAAAGAGTTGTCTTCTCTCATCCGTAACCACAAAAGAATTGCACTGTCAGAGAAAATGTCATCATCATCAGGATCATACTGAATGAATGAATGAATTTGGAATTAGTGTCGACTAATTCACATCGAGATTTTGAATTAGTATATCGTGTACCTGTAAGGTAGCACAGTTCTGGGATGAGCAGAGCTGGTCCAGCAGGAGTTTGACCTTGAGCCACCCTCTTCACGTGGCTGACCAGGAGAACTTGATTGCTATCAGTGATTTCCAGGCCATATTGCTTTTAAAAAAGTCAAAAACAGTGAATGAAACAAATTAGACGGAGTATTATGATGCACCGAAAATTCAATCAATGAAAAGTTTTCTTCCCAACATTGGCCCAGGGCAAGAGGGCTGTCTCTTTGGTGGCAGTGGAAAAAGTGTGCATTACACGGAAGGCACCAGAGAGCTCGTTCTTGGGCAACTTTCAAACTATACGGCAAGTTGCCCAATTGGGATTACTTGTTAAATCAGATTTTTATTTTTTGTCGTCATTAACATTGCAAAAACAAATGCCACTTTTACTGTAAATGGAATGCTTTCATGACGTGACACGTGT